ATCTACTTTTTCTATATTTATTTTCTTACTATGATCATGCTAACACTGCTATGCTTCTTAGCAATGGTGTATTTGTGTGTGTGTGTGTGTGTGTGTGTGTGTTTGCATTTAGGTATGTGTGTACCTGTGGATGGACAGGCATGTGTAGGAGGCATGTACACCTGTTTATACATGTGTGTGAGGCCAGACATGGACAGGGAGTGTTTTCTTCATTGCTTCTTAATCTTACTTTGGAGTCGTGATCTCTGCCTCTTGATGGACGTGGAGTTCACTGGCATACTAGACTGACTGTTGACCTCCAGGAAATTCCCTATCTCAACATCCCACACTCTGAGATTACAGGTGTGTGTCACTGTCTCACCCACTTTTCACATGGGTGCTGAAATCTAAACTTAGGTACTTATGCTCATATTATAAGCATGTTACCAAGTCACTGTTGTGGCATTTGTAAGTAATAAATGGAGCAGAAGCTCCTGGGAATTGTCTGCCTTAAATAAGTGAATATTTATGGATTTCTGAGCATTGTTTAATCATATAGAAATGTATATATTTTCTGAGTCAGATGCATGGCAACTTTATTGTTTTTTGTATTACAAGATTTGTCGGTTTATTTTTCATCAAAATTTATAGCGTTTCATAACAATTCTGTTGGTCAAATGAGTTTTGTCTACTCACAAATACTGTTCACAATGGTATCATCAAAATAATGTTCTTTACAAATGATCAAAACTGTTACTGTGTTTTGAAAAGATGAATATTTCTGAATTTGGATCTCCTATTCACAAATAACATATTAATATCGTTATTGAAAGAACTGAAATATCAAATGAGACAGTGGATATGAAAATACTCAGAAAAGAAGCATAACATCCACACACAATTTATGTTATGACCATCACTATTGTTTTTTCTGTGTCTCAGCTACTTATTAATATTTATTTGATGATGATACGAGGATGTCATCTTGTCAAGAAGTGATTATTATCTTTATTCTCAGTTCCTAATTCATTAAACAAATATATCTGAACATAAAGAGAATTTGGTTTTTCTAAAACATTTCAGTCAAACAAACACTCTCATTGGCATTAAGGGATTTTATCTACTGAGAAGCTAGATAAGAACAATATATACAGAATCATTAAGCCTGCAAACTAGATTTTAATGATATCATTCTCCATAAAGCACAGTTGAACTGTGGAATGAAGCTAGGGATATTGAACAATCTTTACAGCATCAGTATAGGGAAGTGAAAGGAATCTGAGGTTTACACATGACCACAAAAGCTATCAAATAAAGGGAAAGCCTAGTCATGTATGTGTAGAAGATAGATGTTGTATTAAATTAAATATGAAGTCACAATTATTTTGTTTATCTAGCTTCTCATCAAGCATGAAAGGAACAGCTAGCTCATTTTTCCCAGGGAAATATGCAGAGGGACTCAGAAAACTGAGCACGTCAAGACATTATTTTCAACAATATACAGAGTTGCATCATGGTCTGATTCAACTTGTCATTTGTACATGAGTCCTCCGAGCAGATAAAGGAACTCTTGAATTGGTACAGGGTAAAATGAGGCCATTCTTGTATACGGCTTTGGAAATAAAGGCTTTTTTAGAATGTGAAATATTACCAGCTTTTCAAAAATGGAGGTGCATATTTCATCTTTCTTCACTTGAATAAGAGGTATGAGACACACACAGATTGTATGCATCAGCATCCCATTTTTTTTACTAGAATTTTAGAGAGTGAACAGTTAGCCATTAAACAGAGTGCAGTTACTGACTACACATTCTTCTCTGCCCTTTCTTTTTAATATTTTTAATTGCTTGACAGTTTCTTCATTCTTGTAACAAATTTTAGTCATTTTCATTCCCATCCCCCCCTCTCCTACTTTCTTTTTAACCAGTCTTCCTCATACTTCTATTTCTTTTTTTTTTTTTGCCTTTTAATTAATTGCCTACAGTCCCGCAGGAAGGGTTGGAGCCTCATGGTCCATTCCCCATCCATGATGAAATGTTGACAGGCCCAATCTTCTGTAGGTCTTATGCAGATAGCCATAGCTTCAGTGAGTCCATGAGTATGATGGCATCATCATGTCATGTCTAGAAGACCTCTTCTTGTCATACACCTCTTTGTCCTTTGTCCACCCTCTCCGTCAAAGTTCCATAATCCCTGGGAGGGGTGCTATGTTTTGTTGTTTCACTTTTAATGAAGTTGGACTGGATGGCTTTTATTGACTACTTGTGGGAATTCTTGGATTGAGTTAGCTGTCTATTAATCTCTCTGGTGTGTTGTTCTCTTTCTTGTTTGATCAGTTTAGCAGCCTTTCCGCACTGCATTTTAATCAAGAGTCTCACATAATTATGCTAGGTGAGCACTCTACCACTAGGGGCGACACCTTCAGCCTTATTTGTACTTTTTACTTGGAGGGATGGTCTCACTGTACTGCCAGGATGGTCCTGGACTCCTCCAAATGTACTCCTTTAATAGCTGAAACAGTCTGAGTTTACCACCATCCCACCTCAAGCTCTGAGTAGCTGAAATTACAGGTGGGTACCACCAGGCCTGAATATGCAGTAACTTTGTCTTTTTATCCTGTTTAATGGACAAGTAGCCATAATTAGCCATGAATTCTCTAAATCTTTTAACCCTTCATCTCTATATTTAAATTTCTTCTTTTACTTGTTTCTTCTTTGTCCTTCCTAAAGAATACAATCCCAGTCTCTACTACCTTTCCAGAAACTTTCTTTAGCTCAATATCCTATTTGTTTCAGTAACTCTTTTAATTTATCTATAATCACCTCCCTTCCTGGATTTTTAATTTCTAGCCTCTCAGCATTCACTGAGCTCAAGTGTTATTAATTGTAATTTTTCTCTTGAATTTATTTCTTCTTTAGTCAGTTTTAATTGTCTCACTCCCTTGTCTCATCTATTTTCTAAAAATATGCATTCACTGGCTTGGAGAACCACTTTTGATTCACTCCCAACCTATTGGATTTTTAACTCCATTAGCCGACAACTTGCTTCACTCAAATGACATCTAAACACTAGCAATTATAGAAGGTAACTGACTTTTTTATTTCTTCTAGTCCGGTGGACTGTTATTTCTCATCTTTGTTCTTCCCTTGCCAACAACTGTCAAGTTTTTTTATACTACTCTATTTAGTGTCTGGAATTATATTGTTCATTTTCTATTCCTTGTTCCTCATGTAAATACCACCATTTATTTGCTCAGTCAGAGTCACAATTATGACACTCCTTGTGTTTTTTTCTCTACAAGCTACACCCCCACACATGTGCAAACACACACATGCATGCATGCACGTGTGCATGTGCGCACCATACACACACATACACACACACACACACACACACACACACACACACACACACACACAGAGTCCTGTAGGCCTTGTGCCTCTTATGTCTGAACCAATCTTTTTGCTTGATCTAGATCTTTATCATATGTGGCCAATTTAGTTTCTGTGAAATTTGATATGAACCCTTGCCTATTTTCTCTTCACTGTCTAATCATTTCAAAATAGAAAATAATAGCCAAAATATAATAAAAATGAAACATAACCAAGGCCAAATCCAAGCCAAGAACTTCAGGGGCTCTCAGCTCCAATGAACTTAGTGTCTTCCTCCTCTCTTATTATGTTTGCTCCTCACATCCAGAGGAATGTCTTGCTTTCAATGTACCGGGGCCTCTATACTTCAAATTTTGCAAAACTCTTCCCTGAACTCATTACTTTCTTCCAATCTTCTTTGGGCAGAGAGCTATTCCTGGCCCCATGCTCTGCATGTATGTAGTGCTTTGTAAAATCACAAGGGTGGTACTCATATTTTATTACATATTGTTTAATACCAGCCTTTCCTTCCCCACAGACTAACAGTTCAAGGAACATCCTCACTGTGCTTGAATGAATAAACACTCTATGAGTATTTTTAAAACATATAGAAGAAGGAAAAGAATAACACAGAATTAGGCCCACTAGCAAAGGGAAGTTATTCAAGTAGAATAGTCATCAGTAACATGACTGCCGGGAGAAGTAGGGACAAAGAACTAAAGGTTATAAACTGAGCAAAGTCCATCTTCATTTCTAGAAGCCCATTTGGGGATGTCACTTGGTCTATTGCCTTGGTGATCATTTAAGGTATCAAGAATAACGCTAGACCCACAGGGGTCCTATATGATGACCTGTCAGTAGGTTCAGAGATAGTGTCCTTAGAAGATGTTCCATGTAGCAGGTAAATGTTTAGATCCAGAAGAGAGAGAAGGCTAATTGTATCCATTGCCAAACACGACAATGCATATGTGGAATGAGACGGAAGCTATTCGGGAGTTTCCTCAATGTGGAAAGAATACTGACAGTATAGGAAGTGTGCAAATAAAATGTGCTGGAGAAATGAGTTGGTAATCCCCATATTATCCACTAACCTGTTAGTTTTAATTAATTTATAATCTCTGCCATGGCTTAAATGGACTCAAGTATAATATTGCCTCTGGTGATTTATATTCAAAACCTGGTTTAATGTGTACAAAACGCCTGAACAATATTGCCAGTTTCACATCTGTACCCATATCAATTAAGATATAGTCAAGATACTGTCCATGCTAAAATCATAGGGGTTGTCAACCCAAGTTTAAGGCATTTTTAAAAAATATTAGTAAATTCACATGTGGTTGAGTATCTAAAACACACAAATATTACATAAATATAAACTGATATTTTAAGGGTAATTTCCTATTAAATGTCTAACTCTACTTTACCCAAACAATATATTTTCTGAGAAAATGTTTGTCCCCTTAATCAAGTGTTACAATTCACTCAAGTTAAATCTACTATTCATCTTCTCTTTGGATAATTTTATTCACTTTCAACATCAAGGGAGGGGGATACAGTTGTATGAAATCATCCTTTATGACATCATCCAAGCAGAGATGTATTTGCTAAAATCTAAGTTCTTCTGCCTTTTCTGCCCACCCTTATACTCACATATCGCTGGCAATCGAGGAGTTCCTGGACATAGACTTTGGAGAGAGGTCATAATCACTGTCAGATCGATACAAGAAGGACTCCCGGCGTTGACTGTGGACAAAGTTTGCTTGGAGAATTAGCCCAGATCCTGGGCTGGTCATGGGATCCAAGGGACTCCGTCCCGCTGATGTGCCATTGTCCACATCGAAACTGTGAACAGAGCAAAAAGATTTATGTTGGTGTGTGTACTGGCATGCTAGGTCTCAGCAAAGGAGTCAGCTTGATTTGGGGAATGATGGGACGCTTCTTCTTAGTAAAAATTCTTCATAGTAAAAATTCCAACATTGAACTAGAGCTGTAGCTTAGTGGTAGCATGTTTCCATTGTCTAACACCCTGAGTTTGAATCCTAGCACTGCAAACAAACAAACAAACCCACAACTTTAATCTTCACATTGGTTTTACATTCTCATTTTCCTTGAATTTTGACAATCACAAGGCATAAATCTTTTAAAACCTAATTTCAATAAAAAGTCATTCTGCAAAAGTAGTTGTGAACACAGAATTCCTGTTTTGAAAAGAACAAATTAATAGTACTCTAGTAAATACTTGGTTGAACAAATGCTGCTGTATAATGTCACAATTCATCTGAACCTGGGCTTCTTTTCCTTCTCACACTACACCTTTTCATTCACTAATTTCTCCAATCTCCACTGTGACTGTGCAGCAGCCTTTACAGTCATCTCTTGAATCCATTTTCCTCTTTTTGCCTAGTATCTTTATCTTCTTAAAATGCAAATATGACCGACTGTAACATCCTTCAGTTGAAACTCTTCATCAATTCACTTTGCCTTCAGAATCAAGTATACAAACTCCTTGGTTAGACTGAAGGTCTTGGACATCTCTCAATTGCAAACAACCATCTGCACAGCCCAAGGTATACCTCAGACTATCAGGCACTTGGCATTCAACTCACAGTGAACTGGCACCCCCTCTCTCTGGCTGGTACTTCTTGAGTTGCTTTCCTGATTATCCACCTTACCTCTCCTTTGCTAAGACAACTGGCATTCATTCTTCAGAAGTTAACTTTTATCTGAAAGTTTTCTGGAGCTCTCAGAGATATGTGGAGTGCTACCTTTATGCTACCAAAGTCACTGGCCTCTTCCTTGAAAATTAACTGAAAATGTTTGCCACATTGTCTTAATTTCTAGATGTTGAGCTCTCACAAAATGGTCTCTGGAATATCTCAGCACTTCAAGTGCTCTTTCAAAACCTTTATTTGATGGGTCAAGAACCTATGACTAGACAGGTCATAGACTCAAAGAGAAAACATGTTACTCTTATGATGCTAAATGAATATAGCATTAACTCTCATTATGCCCATAGATTAATGCATTTCCTGTCTTCCACCTAGGACCTTTTATTTGCAACAAATGGTGATTGACACTGAGACTTACCACTGGCCAAGGGGTAAAACAGTAAGAGACTCTAAAATTCCCAACCCTAAATGGAACATATGTACTGTATTCCCTCATCCAAAGAGTCACTACTGAGGGCAGACGTGGAAAGAGTCTAAGAGGCAACAGTAGTAGATGACTGTAAGAAAGTGTTTTCTGAATATAACAGTGTAGCTGCAAAATGAATTCACAGCTGTTGCCCAAGATAGACAAAACCCAGAATGTAGCAGGCACTTGGACACACAGTCTCACTCCTAGTTGAGGAGCAATTATTGTCAGTTGCTAGCTGCAGGGAGAGAGAGGGTCAGTTTGCTCTAAGAGTGTAACTCCTAATAAATTTACCATGCTCAATGGAAGGCCACACTATCTAAGAATATTTGGGCAGAACGTATTGCCCTTCATTTGGGGAGATATAAAGTTGGGTGGGAAAGGAAGAAGGTGTGGATCTGGGAAAAGTCGAGGAAGGGAGGGAGAATATGATCAAAACACATTATACCAAATTCCCAAAGAACACATATATGGATGCACATGATAAAATCCTTTACTGGAGCTAGAAGCACAGATGAATGGTAGAATGTTTGACCCATATACATTAGGCCCTGTGTTCAACATCTATCAGCACAACAAAGAACAGCAAAACCTCTTTACTAAGTGGGGTAAATGAATATAGAAAGAATGAAATACATTGAGTTCAATACAGATTTGTAAAGTCAGAGAACAAAAAGTAGACACATATAACAGCTTTCAATGTGATAATCTTTATAACCCAGCCAAGTTTTCCCAAGCAAACTTTTCTAGTGAAATATCAACAATCATCAAATTCAACTCTCATGTGTTCTTGAAGGAAAGAGAGTGACAGCATAGGATAGGCCAGGGGATATGCAGTTAACAGAAATCACTGAGTGCACAAATGAATTCAAATTAAACTGTTATCAACATTCCTCATTAGAACCTATAGCTCAACAGTAAGTCCTGGCATACACACGCAATGCTCTGGGGGTAAATTTTCAACACGTTCATGTACACCCCCCCCCCACACACGTATTCAACTAATGGCCCTACAACATTTTTATTGTCTTTCTTTGGGTTATGTCCCAAGTTTCCCAAGTAAGCCAACTTGGGGGGGAGCAGTGAATCATTGATCACACACGCACCTCTGGTGAAGCAACACCAAAATCAACCTTCAAGCCCAAAGGAAAAGAGAGACCATTATAATGTATTTCATTCAGTCAAAAAACTCTTTTACAACTTAAATTTTGCGTGTGTGTATGTAATCATAAGTGCAGTATATATACATGTTTGTCTATGTGCGCATGTGTGCAGGCCAAAGGTTGATGCTGTCTCCATCAATTGCTCTCAATCTTATTTTTGAGATAGATTCTTTTATATAAGTTGGAGTTTTACTCACCAAAGATGGGATTATAGAGATGTGCTACCCATGACAGGCTTTTAATTTGCAAGCGGAGTTATGAAGTCAGGTCCTCATGCTTGTGTGGCAAGGATTTTAGCAAATGAACCATCTCCCCAACCCTTAAGTTTTCTTAGAACTGTGTCATTTTATAAATATATTCATATGGTTCTGTGGAGACATTGGTGGGTTATTTAATTAAACATTCACTTTATAGACAAAGATGACAGGTTCTAGAAAAACTGATTGGTCAAAGTCACCGAGCTAAGACTTAATGATCTGTTGTTTCTGAAGTCCTCCCTGACAGAGTGCATGATTCCATGAGGCACAAATACGTGTCAGTAGCTGTGGGCTAAATGAGAGGCTTCTGACTCACCTGGGTAGGGTCATTGTTTTGCAGGCACTTGGGCTATCCCCAGGAAAGCCTAGGAAGGCAGGGTATTTTTAACCTTTGAAGAGGGATACCAGAGGTATTTGGGGACATTCTTCTTGAATGTTATTCATTAAATAAGCATTTATTAAACATTTATTATGAGTATACTGTGATTAAAATTATAAAAGCAATAGTATTAACTCAGGTGGAGATACTGTGACATTTTCATAGAGGAGTAACTAAAGTAGCCCTTTAGTGCTACTCAACACACATTTGGAAGCCACCATTCAGAAGGATAGGGAGAAATGGGAGTAGATTTCGCTTTAAGGAGACAGGGGACTCGCGATGGAAATTCTCCATGAAGCATCTGTGCTTGCTTCCCCTTATGATCTAGCAGGATGATGTCAGGGTTAAGTGAAACAGAAGGAAGGCTCTAGCTACACATTCTGCATGAACAATAAAGGAGATAGGAGACTGTGGATTTTGAACTTACTTTTTCTTTGTTGAAGCAATGCTAACTGAATCACCAAAAACGATTAATTTACATTTTTAAATGTAGATGTAATATAACACTTTGTCCACTAGATGGAGATAATGTTCTTAACTATGGAGAACTTCTTTTAAAGTGAAGGCCTAAATTACTTACTAAGACACACAAAAATCTCATAAATATTACCTAAAAAGAATGCCTCAAATCTATCAAACTGTTTATAAATGTCGATTAAAAGTTAGATTAATCTAAGAAACATTTGTGCTAGTTTTACTTTTAAATTAACTCATTTTCTTGTTTTTTATAGTGTTCAGATGGTTTATAACTTACAGGTTCAAATGACCTTCCAACCTCTGACCCTACAGCAGCTGGGACCGAAGGCACATACCACACAAGCATGCATGGCTAAGAATTTGCTGCCAAGATGGAGCTCTAAACAGTAGCTGATGTCCTATTGGATTTTTACTCAAAAAAAACAAAAACAAAAACAAAACCCCGGAAGACATCACTGAACACATGTTACGCTGGGCAAAGTACCGTGAATATCAACGACAGGCTGGGGAAGCCTTCTAAGTTTGGGAACACGAATTTTCTCAGAAAACAGTTTGATTTTGGAGGCAGGCATTTGGTCTGAAGTCATCTGCATGCTCGATTTCTATCATAGTAAGTGCTTCTATAATCAAAAATCATTACCAAGAAACAGCAATATTATAATAACAAGTTCAAAGTGTTAACGAGCATCGGTCATGGTGAATGACCTTGTAGAAAGAGATTTTGTTCAGTGAAGAGTTTAGGCTTGCAGTTCGTCTCTGTCCTTAGATTAATTCTGGGGTAAATACAGATACATGGAATGCAGCACTTCACAACAGGGCATTAAATTCCAGGTAAGGGAGCAAAACAAGAGGCAATTGTGGAATGAAGGACGAACAGGAAGCACCAGTTACAAATAGCCTGAAAATAATAAAAAGCACTGTGCTGTCCGAATATGTCAAGAGGCAACGCATGTGAAGGGGGCTGAATGCATGGAAGGAGTAAAAGGTCCAGGCAGAGTTGGGGGTAGCAGGGGCAGAGGATGCCCAGCCCACGTGAAGCAAACCGAGAAAAGGCGAATGTGAGTCAAACAGGATGCAGCGTTGGGTTGCGTCTATGGGCTAGCACTGAAGAGCGACGAGGCTATGTAAGTGACAGCATCATATGGTACCAGTAACAGGTAGGCTGGGTGGCCCATGTCGGCAGCAGCTTGCAGTAAAGAGAGATGTGGAAAGGACACAGAGCCCGTTTAACAGCTATCACCCAGGAGTGAGGTGTGGACGACTGTTTACTTTCCAGTTGCCTACATTCATATGGCTTGGTTCGTGAAAATAAATGCGTCGTTTCTGCCGGGCGGTGGTGGCGCACGCCTTTAATCCCAGCACTCGGGAGACAGAGGCAGGCGGATCTCTGAGTTCGAGGCCGGGCTGGACAGACAGCCTCCAAAACAATAC